ATGTATTCGGCCTGGAGCCGATTCCATTGTTTCATAGGCAGTTCATCCTGGCCACCACCTGGGGACAGCTTCAGCCTATCCATTTCTTCCTTTTGCAGTAAACCAATTTATAATCTGTGACTCACAGAAGGGAGGAAAGTTTACCTGGAGGTGGTGAGGAGAACATTCAATTATCTGACGACATCCATAACCCTACACATATTAGCTTATACAATGGTAGCTATACTACCTATATTTAATTGAACTTGAAAGATGGGGTTTGCTGTGTTGGGCAAAATAAGCAGTGAATAGAAAGAGAAAAGCTTTTGAAATTATCAAAAAAATAATGCAGGTTTCTAGAGTTAACTTTACTATATATTTCTATAAAGTTAATTTTGTTCATAAACAGTGAACAATTAATCTGGGATTTGTGCATTGTGAAAAAAAAAATCACTTGACAAGTCAAAAAGGAATGCTTAAACTTTACATACAGTCATTTTTTCCTCAAGGAAGCACATATGGCTTCAAATTCAGGAAGAGGCCAGAAAGAGAATAGCTGATCCATATTACAGAAGGCCTCCAAGAAAAACTCTGGGTATGAAATGGTGGTGTCTACTTTTACAGGGTTCTTCTCCAAATAATTTTCCAGCTAAAGTTTGTTAATACAATGCTCACTCCTCTGGGAAGCATACTTGGTTAGGGACTGAATGTTTGTGTCCCCTCAGAATTCAAACATTGAAAGCTCTAGACCCCCATGTGTTTCTACTTAGCCTTTGGCACTGTGACTCATTAGAGGTAATTAGGGTTAGATGAGGTTATAGGACTAGGCTTCTCACTGAAATTAGTGGGGAGAAGTTTGGGGGGGCAGTGTCCATGGAGGAGCAACTGCATAGGACAGTGAGGTATTTTTGGCTTAAATAGGGACCATGGTTCCTAGCTCCATCTCATTGTGGAAAAAAGATGTTACTGGGTCCACACTGTGGGAGGGGGTAGTCTTTGTCTTTCCCCCCTCTATGAGGCAAATGCACCCCAGGTGTTGCCCTATTGGCTTCTGTAGGTGTTTCCTGGATACCTTTCATTGTGTTATCTTAGGTGCTTTCCCCTGCCCAAACTACCTAACAATAGGGTCTCTAAAAAGGTAATTAAAGTAAAATGAGGACATGTGAGTGGTTTCTGATCCAATATAATTGGATTCCTTATAAGAGAGAAACTAAAGGAGAGAGGTCTCAGATGAAAACAACTCTACTGACGCCTGACCTTGGGCTTCTGGCCTCTAGAACTGTAAGAAAACAAATTTCTGTTGCTCAAGCCACCTAATCTGTGGTATTTTGTTATGGCAGCCCTGACAGACTAAGACAGCCCTTAAATAAAACTGAAGTCTGGCCAGTTGGAAAGACTTTTTTTTTTTTTAAAGATTTATTTATTTTATTTATACAAGCACTGGGTATAGTCAGAAGCGCGAGAGGGTGAGAGAATTCACTAGAGCCAGAGCGGGGAGCAGAACAGGCAGATCAACGAAATACACTGCTGAGGGGAGCAGCAGTCACGGCAGGAGAGGTCTGGAGAGGTCTGGAGAGCAGCAGGCACGGCAGGGGAGATCTGTCAAGCCATGTGGGACCCTCGCTGGTGGCCAGGGATCGAAACAGCCCTGCAGAGACTGCGGGCAGCTTCGCAGGCCAGCGCTCAACTGCTGTGCCACCAGGGGAGGCCCTGGAAAGACTTTCTTGAGGGTACAGTGTCTGCCTAGTTCTTGCTTCCTTCTGTAAGTCCCTGAGACTTAGCCTGGGACTGGAAATTGGTACTCTCTCCTCAGGCCCCTCCTCCAACCACTGCACACATTTACTCCCTTAGTTTCATAGCCTTAGAAAAGAGATCTCATTTCCTATGTCCTTGCTCAGAAACTGAGGTAAGAAGGAAGGCCCTGTATTAGGAGAGTGATAACTAAATCATCCATTTCACCTGCTACCTCCTCTATCACCACTGTGAGAGACTTCACAGGACTTGATTTTCACATTATTTCCATAGACTTTGTAGTCCTTTTGGTGACTTTTTTTTCACACTTATATTTTATATCATCATTTCCTTCTCCCCACTCACCCATTTTTTAATCAGCTTTAATCTTGGATTAATGTTCTGTTATAGGGCAGGGAGAGGGGCAACCCAAACCCCACAAACCTATTCTAAATGGGTTCTGCCATCTGCCGCATCAACACAAAACATATGAGACTTTAATGGGAAGGAACTTTAATACAATTTGGAAACAATACAGGAAAGGCAAAGAATCTAATTTCTAAATCAAGCACCCGAAGTTATCCGTCCCCTCGTGGGTAAAACTCCATCCAAATGGGATTGGCCCAGAGCAAGGCCCCAAAGCCTGCCACAAGTCCAAAGCATCTTCCAGTGGGGACCCACAGAAAAGGGTCAAAAACAACCAGACAAGCCCGGAAGGAAAAGAGCAAAATCAAAATCAAGATAAAAGCTGCCATTGTCACCTCCCCCACGGGTTTCACCCACATCTGTGTCACCCAGTCCATGACCAAAAGACAAGCGCAGTTTCTTCACGTGTCTCCAGGCTCCATGTGCCTCCTCCAGGTCTCCTTCTGGCTCCATCCTGCTTCCTTCCTCAGTCTCCTCTGCAGCTTCTTCTCTCCCTGCTCAGCATCACCCTCCCTTGGGTAGGGTAGGGAACCTGGAACCTCCCCCTTTCCTGGGGACCACCCTGTTACAGTTCTACATAAAAGAACCAAGCATTAATCTTTACTTCACCATAGGTGGTGAGAAGATAGTTTCTTTTTATTAGTTTTCCAAAGTAGAAGATAAGGAAAATGCTAACAGTATAATTAAAGATAAAAATGAAAAAGACTTGAATAGATTTGAATTCCTATGAGGTGAGCCCCTTGGAGGCTTTTCATTAAGGGCTAATTTCTGACAGTCACAGATAAGGGAGGCCCACTCATCTTTTCCATTTCGTGGAAGTGATTTTAGAAATTGCTGGAAGGAACTTTTAAGGGTGGGGAACTCTCCTGTCTCAATGTATCTGGGCAGAACTCCTTGTCATCCTAGTTTCTTTTTCCCTAGGAAAAAACCTGTAACTTACTTTAAAAAGTATTAGTCATATGCTGGAAGAAAACTAACGCGGGTATGATGTTTTCACTGATGGTCCTCAAAAACTAAGGCACGTACATTGAAAGAAGAGACAGAGGTTCAGAGGCTGTGGGGATATGGTGGGCATGGCTAATGCAAAAACAAAAGCAAAAATCAAACAGAAAAACCCACCATAAGGGCTCAAAACCTGCCTGCTTGCTGTGGTAGTGATATACCATTAAATTTGTCAGCTATTCAAATATGTGGGGGAGCCGGGAAAGCACAACAAAGAATCTCAAATTGAATTGCCATTTCCTGTAAGATTATGCTAAGGGTGGGACGACCAGATAGAATCTCTTGTTCAAACTGGTACAATTATGAGTTTGAGAGGAGAAATGATTAACTGGGCTAAGTCAAGAATACCCTCTGGGTACTGGGATGTGGAGTTCCTTAGCTAGGGGTGCCTTCTACAGCCAATCCTTTTTTCACACTTGGAGTGCCCACAGGAATTAAAACCGTGGAAACTGAGGCCAGTGCTTAGCACAGTGCCTGGCGCTAAGGTAGGCTTTGTGTGAACTATGTTACTATTCCCCACAGCAACTGGAGAGTTCATTGCAAATACTTAAAAATGGTAATACAGGAAATTGAAATTTAGAGGGGTCCAGACATTTACAAAGAAGTTCCCCTGCGGAACACAATACCAAAACATCGAAACTTGATTGCCCTAAGGAAATACCCTCCCTTCCCTGTTATTTAAATTCTTTCTTAGGCCTGCTCAGGGCCTCCAGGAAGTTTTTCAGGACCACTTCATTTTCATTGCTTTAGGTTCTGAAAGCTTATTACACCTACAGTTCACATCTTTTTACCATGTGGTTCATGTGAATTAATTTCATGTCCCAAAGAAAAAAGTAGGATTTCTCCTTCTTTTGTGGTTCATTTCATTCTCTGCAAACACCAAGTGTCTAAAAGTATCTAGAGATCAGATATAGATATACACACATATATGCTGGAGCTTCACATGTTAAATATGTTTTCCCTTTCCTCTGCATCTGGCTAATCGAAGATGCTGCTCCTCTATCATGAACATTGCCTTCTGCTTTCACTCCCACCCTGGATTCATGCTACTCATTTGCTGTACCCACCAAAAAAGTTTTTCATTTTGCAACAGGATAACAATTTTACTCAAAGTTTCTAATTTTAGGAAGTCTGTTAAAATTGAAATTATCCATGGACATGAACCCAAATGAACACATTTTGTGAAAAAGCTTTTATATTTGTATTATCTATCATTTTTTAAAAGAACACAATTAAAAAATAAGTCCACCTAAAATGACCAAATTTAGGACTACACCAAGCATAAATAGGTGGAATTTATTAGGTCAACCTAAACTTGTTTTTTGGTGGCAAATTAACCAATAGGTCCAAAAATATTTAGTTAAAACATAAAATGTAGAAAGTTGTTTAGATATCTTCAAATAAGTAACACACCAAAGGTTTTCCAAATATTTATTGCAGCACAAGGTATCACATAGTTGTTGAAAAAAAGCAGTTTTATGGTAGTCAAAAATACTTTTCAGAAAGTATTCTAGCACAAGTCTCCTTCATTAACTAGATTATGCAGTAAACTCTATTTCTAATTCTTTCATGAGTGTTGGTTCTTAAGAACTAGAACTTACTCCTACTCCAAATCTATCTTGTGCTACCAAAACTGCAGCAAGGCACTTGAAAGCTGTTTCTTTAATATATGTAATTCTTATTCTTGCTGGTAGTATACTGTGGCACCAAGTGTGTGCACTTTTTATTCAAGGTCATCATGATGCTGAGAAGTTTCATTGATAACCTGTTAAAAAAAAACAAAACCTCAAATCAAATATCATACTATATACTAAAGTTTAAATTACCCCATAAAGCATGACAAAAAAAATCATATTACATCTATGTCATTTACTGGGAAAGTGGGAAGATTTTGTTGCTCTGCGTGGACACATATGTATGTCAAATGCATATTATGACTTTAAAAAGGGAAAATTCCTCCAAAAAACCTTAAGAAGGATGCCATAAGATCGAAATTAAGGTATTAAAATTTTAAGTTTATGTGTAAGGGAAGATGAGATGAAAATTACAACTACTTTTGGGCACTTCTTTCCTGGTATAGAGGTACAGTAAGAAATTCATGGATCATATGGCACAACCTTGTGCTACAAAAAAGGCCTTTGGATTGTCTAGGTGGTGGTTAGCAGAGAAGGCCATATATCTAGGATCAAAATATTTCTGACATTGAGGTAGCTGAAGGAAGCTAGTGTAGGAAGTAACTTATATTCCCTTTTCAAATGAAACACCAGGGAACAAGCACTAATTCTGGACTGCAGGAAGACTGGTATCTCATCTTCACTTCCAAAAACCAAATCATTAGTTGGTTGTGTGTAGTACTGGAAGAAGAGGACTATTCTCTTTTTAGTATGCATGAGTAAATCTGAAACGTCCCAAATTAGATAGTTGTATCTAACTAAGATGCATATTTATTGATTTAAAAGTTCAATATCTGCCTGGAATTACTCCAGTTCTGATTTAAAGATACCAACCTGTCCATCTCTAGTTTCAACCGTCTTAATCAGAAGTGTTCTCTTTGAGTGGGTGTCAACAAGAGGGAGGGATTCCAGATTGGTTTCTGAATAAAGAAACAGGCCCCAAATGAATACAAATGAAATTTTAAAAAGTAACTATCTCACTGAAGAATTATGATTTTTTTGCTTATATGTTTTTGAAGTATAAGTATTACTTCAAAAATATTTGTAAAGACTCTTATGGACTTTCAAACCCAGTGCCTGACACCACTGTAGCTTCAGGATGAGATGGGCTATATATATAACTCTACATATACTCTGTCACCAAGAACTAAAATGGAGCTTAAATTTAACTTGTAGCACAGACTGTACAGCAGGACTTAGGTTTGAAAATTATGGATGTCTTCTAGAATTTTCTCTTGTGTGGCACTTTCCAGTTATTGTTAAAAATGAGTGCATTATTATAAACAGAATGTCTACAAGGTCTGAAGTTTTTTATAAAGGGCAATTAGATGCTTACCCCTCAGGTTCAGGGAAGAAAAGTTTGGAAGAGGCAGAGCAATCCTGTAAAAAGATGAAGAAAAACAGTAAAATTTTTGGAAAACTACTTGAACAACGCACAAATTTATAGGCTTCTTGTTTCCAACAATTAAGAAAAGTTACTCTTGTAATTTTAAGTGAGGGGTCTGCTTCAGAAGCATTGATCCATGATTGGTTTCATCAGTACATTTAAATATTTCACACCAAGCATTATCTGAGCATAGAGCATCAACTGGAGGCATCACAGAGTGGGAACTGTTGGGTTTTACAGAATTGTGGGTTCAGATCCCAGCTCTGCTAAGAGTGACTAGGGCAAGTAACTTTGAACATAAATTTCCTTGTCTATGAAAAGTAGTAAATAGCTGCCTTCTAGAAATGTCCTTAAGATTAAATAAGTTAATTTTCATAAAGCCCAGAGACATAATCCCTAACAATGGCAGCTATTAATCATACCCAAAGTTCTTATTCTATACCTGCTCTCCTCGCCTTCCAGCAACTTCCTGTAGGTGGCAATCTCGATGTCAAGAGCCATCTTGACATTCAGCAGGTCTTGGTATTCACGAAGATGTCGAGCCATTTCTTCCTTCATATTCTGAATCTCATCCTGCAGGCGGCCAATAGTGTCTTGGTAGTTAGCAGCTTCGACAGCAAAGTTCTCTTCCATTTCACGCATCTGGCGTTCCAGAGACTCATTCTGTAGTAGGTAAGAAAAGTTGGCAATGTTATTGTCCAGAATAAAAAACAAAAAACAGCTACTGCTAGAATGATTCACAGACCATTTACAACCTTTTTCCTTAGTGGCAAATGGGGAACACTCCAATTTTAGGTGAAGAATAGAGTACTAAGTCCCTTCTTAGAAGCAATGATAGATGTAAGCTAAAACCGTAACATCTCAAAGTCCTTTTTGAATTTGTCTTAACTCATTTTCTTAGGATTAAAATATACTTTTTTTTTAATTTAGTGTTTTGTTTAGATGTCACTATTAGCTTGATCAAGTGAATGTCTCCAAGCTGGTTAATTTCCCTCTTTTACTGCAGTGTGATACTTACAGTTCCTTTAAGCGCATCCACTTCACAAGTGAGGGACTGCACCTGTCTCCGATACTCATTTGATTCTTGCTTTGCCTGGCGCAGGGCATCATTGTTCCTGTTAGCAGCCTCGGAGAGGTCAGCAAACTGTCAGGAGGAAATTAGAAATGTAGATCACCCAAGTGAACTGTCTACAAATCTTCTAAGACTCTATCTTACTGAGCAAATGCAAAAGCTTAATGATGGCAAGTAAACAAATAAAGCAAACATGATAGAAACCATATTTCATATTTTATGTTCAAATCTCAGTGTCTTCTAGAATATGTCTAAATGTCCTTTTGCAAGCCAGAAAAAAAGCAGTGGAAGTCTTATGCTGATATTTTCACCTAAAAATTCACTGTATCACCCTCATTAAAAAAAAAAAAAAGGTAGAGGTAAAGGGCATGGTGTTAGAGTTTATTCTGAAGTAGGATGGAAGAAAGATAGTGAATGGAAGTCTGCTAAACAAGGATGTGTAAGTGGTAAGGAAGTTATAGTAACGAACAAAACTTGGACATCGGAGTCAGCTTTTTAGCTGGAGCTAAAGGAAATTTAGGAATCAGGGTCAGGTATTGTATTTGCAGAACAAGCATCTTTCTTTTGTTCTGGCCACACTGATCTGTTTCCTACCTTCGACTTGTACCATTCCTCGGCCTCCTGAAGGTTCTTGGCAGCCACACTTTCGTACTGCTGACGCACATCACGCAGAGCAGCAGTGAGGTCAGGTTTGGAAACATCCACATCGATCTGGACATGCTGTTCCTGAATCTGGGCCTGCAGCTCCTGGATTTCCTGAAGAAAGAACAGATAGAAGGTCAGCCATGCCAAGTACAGAAAAGCTTCACCCACATTCATTCACTGAAAGTGACTCCACTTACTTCATCATGTAGTTTCTTCAAAAAGGCAATCTCTTCCTGCAAGGATTCCACTTTACGTTCAAGGTCAAGACGTGCCAGCGAAGCATTGTCAACATCCTAGTTTGAAAAGAGAAAACACAGGAGTTGGAGGATGCTAACATCTGCAGCTTATCTCAGTATTTCATTTTAAATTAACCATTTGAGCTTAGTGCAGTACTACAAAGAGGGTGTTGATAAATTTGATGACCTTTGAATAAGTTTGTGAGGTACCCAGCGCCATAACACACTTTGCTTCCTTCTCTTCATTAATAAATTTGAATCGTGACTCACTGTGTTGTATTCAAGGTGATTAATAATTTAAAAGTAAGTGTAAGAAGTAAATAATAACTGCGTCCAATTATTACTGAGTTCACATTATTCCAGTGACATTTTTAGTGTTTTTTTTTTAATCAAGAAAGTCAGTGTCACAGCATTTTAAAGAATTTTTTGGTAATATGGAATAATATGCCAGAGTAGTAGCCCACTTTCACAATGTCATGTATACATGAGTATATATAGCACAGAAATTTATGCTTCCCTAATGTAGTGTACACCTAAGTTCTTTTTTCTCTATTCAACCTCTGAAACATACTACAGAGCAAGTATGTAATCAACTGGAATTTAGGTCATAGGCTAGATTTAAATTTAATTTAGGAAGCACACTGGCAAATATACACTTCAGGAAAACAAGAAATTGTGTTTGCTTTCTCTGTGGGTTTTTCTCCTAACAATCCCTTCTCACCCTAGGGCCTGTCCTTCCTTTTCAGTTAGCATTGTATCAATTCAGTTACTAACCTTGTTTCAGAATGACTGGCCAAAGCACTAGCATACAAAAAGATAGTCTCAACATTTGGGCTGTTCTTGCTCTCCTTCTGCATATCCACTATTTGGTAACTGCTACATTCCAAGTCAGAATGTGTAATTCTGCATCTAAGTTTTATTTCCCCCTGGAGGGACTGTCAGGAGGATTTTTATACCTCTTACCTTGTAAGTAATTATATTTGGAGTACAGTTTATAGCATTACAGCCTTAAAATGTTAAGGCATTTCTATCACCTTCATGGAAAAGTGAATGAGGAACGCATGATAATAAAAAGATCAGATTTAGGGAAAAATTTATTTTTGCTCATTACTAAGCCCTAAAAAAGAAAAGATAATTTACTAACCTCTAAATAATTTAATGTGAAAACCTACTTCATCGAAGAGCATGTGAAAAATTTGATCTAATCCCGAAATAGGAGATCTTTTCTACTAATGCCATTTTATATTAACTCACTACTCTGCAGAAAGTATGTCAGGTATGATAATCATAAATGCTCAGTGGTAAAATTAATCACACATCCGTGGGCTTAAATTAATTTGGCAAAGGTATTTTTGCTTCAAAATGTTATTCTAACCTATTCATTTTAGAGTGCTTTTGTAGCCAACCCCAGTTAAGTGTTCAGAAGAATAAAACTATGCCAAGACCTTCCTGCTTCTGGATCCCAATTTTAAATTAATATTAAATCCATCTAGCTTTGGAGCAAAAAGACAAACTCTTTCATTAAAATGTCATTCTTCAATCTTAGGTTTTTGCTTTATTTATGGAAAGAGATTTAAAGGATACAAGACCCCACTAAAGGAAGGCCTTTCTAAATGGGAGGTATGACTGTAGCTTTAAGAACTCTTCACATCACATACTTCACAAGTCTGGGCCAGATATTAGATAACGGATGTTAGCAAATACTTGTGTCCAATTAGAACTGTGCTTAGATCATTACATATTCAATAAGAATGTAGCCTGTTGAAAGCTTCTCTGGGAACACAAAGACTCCTATTATATCTGTCCAGAGCCACCACACTTGCCAGAATGTCTGTATCTACATTCCATAGTGAAGCCCGTAGAAACCATTAATATCTTTCAGCTGAGGGGACAGATGGCTCCTTTTCATTCCTAGTGGATCACAAAATAGTTGCGCATAGCGATACTCCCATCTAACTCTAATGGCACAATAGAACTCCGAGAAGAACAGAGACTTTCTGGCTTAATGCCAGTAAACTAAGTTTCTGATCCTCCAACACGTTTTGCATTTTAAACTACAGGGCAGAATTGCGCTTTTTGTGGCCTTGCAAAAGCCAATGGGCTTTAGCAAACTGCAATCTAATTCAAACGCTAACTGTTTTGAGATCAATGTGTTGCAAAAGCGAAATGGAAAAATATTTCTTTGGAAAAATCTTGACACCAAGTAAAAGTTAAAGACTTTCTTTATGTCAAAGGGATGATTTAAATCATTATTATTATTATTATTATTATTATTATTATTTTAATCGGGTGAAACTTTAATCTGTGGCGTTTTCTTTTTTGGCCTGTAGGGGGCTTTGCGCACAGGCGAGAAGTTTTGCATTGTTTTTAAGTAACTTTTAGGACTGCCGATGGGTCGACTGGGTGGGGTCCAGAAACTGCCAGGGGGAAGAGAAATCTACAAACCTGTCTGAAAGATTGCAGGGTGCTCTCGGCATCTTCCCTTTGAAGCATTTCCTCCTGCAACCTGAAAGAGTTGCACAGTAACCAAAGGGGAACTGGAAAACCACCAAGGGCGGGGCGACCACACCCTACGACCACGTCGCTACCCCCAAAGACTAGACCCGCTGCGCCACCTCCACTGGAAGCCAGAGACGGCGCCTTTTACAACTGTGGCCCTCGACAAGTTTCAGTAGGACCTCGGCTGGAGGGTGGAAAAGCAGCCACCGTCGCCACAGCGACATGCAATACGAAATCCGCTACCCCGCCCCGAGCCTCCACAATCCCTTTGTCTGGCTTCCTCCACAGCCATCCTCTTCGCCCCGGTCCCCTCCAAAGCTGGCAGCCCGCCAGAGGGAGCCAGGAAACTTTAAGAAAGTTTGGAGAAAAAGTGCGCATCGTTCCCAAGAGTTTGCAACTACAGACAAAATGGTACTTTTAAGAAGTCTGTGGTTGAAAAGGGGTGTTCTTGAGCAACGCGTGAGAGCAGAAAGGAAATGCATCTGCAAGATCTGGGTTCTAGGCGGGGCTGTGCAGCCTCAGGCACAGCCCTGCTCCCCACTATCCCGCAGAAGGCCGCCGCCCAGACCACATCCCACATCCCCAAGGGCGTGGCAGCCCCTCACTGCGACCCCCCGGGTCCCTCTCCCTGCCCCCCAGTAGCCTGGGCGTGGGCGCCTCCTTACTTCTCCCGGAGCCTCATGATGTCCTCGGCCAGGTTGTCGCGCTCCACCTCGACACGGCCTTTGTCGTTGGTCAGCTGGTCCACCTGCCTGCGCAGCTCCCGCATCTCCTCCTCGTAGAGGTCCCCCAGACGGGACTTGCCCTGGCCCTTAAGCTGCTCGAGCTCGGCCAGCAGGATCTTGTTCTGCTGCTCCAGGAAGCGCACCTTGTCGATGTAGTTGGCGAAGCGGTCGTTGAGCTCCTGCAGCTCCACTTTCTCGTTGGTGCGGGTGTTCTTGAACTCGGTGTTGATGGCGTCGGCCAGCGAGAAGTCCACCGAGTCCTGCAGCAGCCGCAGGCCGGGCACCCCGCTCCGCAGGCGCACCGCAGAGGAGCGCGTGGCGTACACGCCGCCGGGGGACGAGGTGTAGAGGCTCCGGCTGGTGCTGGGGCGCAGCGAGCTGCCCAGGCTGTAGGTGCGGGTGGAGGTGGTCACGTAGCTCCGGCTGGCGCTCGGCCGGCTGGAGGTGCTGGGGCCACCGAACATCCTGCGGTAGGAGGACGAGGACATGGACCTGGTGGACATGGTTGCAGAGGGTGGCGGTGGGCTGGGCGGCTGCGGTGGCGCGGACAGGTCCGGGTGGAGACGCGAGCTGGCGCGCTGTGGGTGTGGGCGGTGGAGCGCTGCTGTGTCTCTGGAGCGGGGTCCTCGGAGCAAGAGTTGCAGAGGACGGGACCCCGCCAAGGGCTGTTTTTATAACCCGATTGGAAAAACGGGTCCCCTCCCACACAGCCCAGAGCGCGGTAGCCAATGGGGATCCAACAAGAAGCGCGGAGGCTGGGCGCGGGTTTGGGGCGGGGGCGTCCTCGAGCCGTCCTCCTAACTTCGAGGCAGCTCGGGACTGGGCACAGCCCGGTCACTTGGCTGGACGAGGACTTTCGGGTACTTTCCTGATGATGATACGAGTTCTGCTCACCCCGGAATGCTGCAAAAGTCTGGGTCACGCGGTGAAGGGGGCACCGGATCGAAACCGGACTTGAGGGGTCCCGCATTCCACCCAAAGGGGCTTTGGAGTCGGCGCGCGAGTGGGAGGGGCCGTGGCGCAGAGCCGCAGGGTGCTGTGCGCCGGTGGGTGGGGACACCCGCGGGCTAGGATGCACGAAAAAGGGGGTTAAGGGATTTGGAAGATCCTAAAACTCGGAGAAAGAAACTCAGGGAGCCGAGATTGGAGCGCAGCCTCGCGCACTGCATCTTGCAAAGGGAGCGCTCCGTAGGGGTCTCTTTTCATCCTCTTGTCTTGGGGGCGCCCATGCAGGGACCTAACGGGCTCGACGTGGCTTTGGGCCAGCGAACTGCGAGGCGGCTGCGGAGGAAAGCCCTGGGGAGGGGTGGGGTCGCTGAGTCACTTGCAGTGAGTCACATCTCCCGATTGCCCCGCCGAGGTTGAGGGCTTCTAGCGGCTCAGACAGAAACCGTTAGACGAGGTTGACTCGAGTCTCGGCAGCTCCATGAAGTTTGTTCTAAGTTTTAGCCAACTTCGAGCTGGGTTTCTACTTTTTGGGGTGCATTCAGCTGCGGGGAGAGTGGAAGGACTAAAGCACTTCAGTTTTTAAGTACCCAAACCTGCTTATCTTGTAAAGTGTGGCTTTACCGTGCAGACCCTCCTTGGCAGCAAAATATGGGTCTCACGGAGGCACTAGGGAAAGGTTTTATTTACTAGCCGAGTTCCCCTCCCCCTGATTTCCTCCCTTTTTCTCCTCCAGTGCCCTCTCCGCCTTGAAACCACACCCAATTTCTAACACTCATCTGCAAGTTCTGGGTGAAAGAGGAAACTCATGGTCCATAGTTTCAGGCACAAATTGAGTGATCGGTGGTTTTTCCTTTTATAGTGGAAGTCATCAGCCGCCCCAGTTACAGAATTAGCTGTTGCTTTAAACCCCCAATTTGATTAATATAAGGCAATCACAGAGCTCAAATGACAGTATGTTTGAGGAAGATAGATTTATGTATTCATTTTAGTTCATTGATGCGCACTACAGCAGTCTGGTGACTTGTCTGGGAAATATCACAGCTTTTTGTTTTGTTTTTGTGTCAAGTCTGTCCTGGCCTGTTTCACGGAAGAAAAATTTGCCAGTCAGAGTGAGGGAAATAAAAATGAGCACAGAGCAAAACCTTCTGGTCTACGGCACCAAAGGAGTTTTCAGATTCCACCACCAATATCTTTCTAGGTAAATCTCACCACAAGGGCTCCTGGTGCAGTATTAGTAATAAGCAGAACAGAGTGGTTCCCCTCAAAGAGAATTTGAAGGGGGGAAAAGCCAGCCAGTCTTTTTGTGATTTTAAAATTGCAATTTTTTTTTTGTTTTTGTTCAGTATTTAGAAGATATGTGGATCATTGAAAGGCTTAATTGCAAAACCACTGTAAAAATAAAAGCATCTTGATTTTATAGTGAGTAGGAGAGGACAGCAAAATCATTCCCTCTGTGTTTGTTTGTTTGTTGGGGAGGCAGTATACTGGAGAAAAAGCTTAGAACCAATTGAAGGGTTTATTTGGCTTCCTTGTACAAGCATCTTTTAAGCAATAGTTTGTTTACTGCCCTTGGGGTAGTTCTGGGATGTAGCACTGCCAAGGTCGCGCTGTAGGACCCTTCACTCGCTGTACAGTCCTCCCACTGTGTATTTCCTTTATTCTCCCCTTACTGAGAGGCCGTGTGTTATTCCCGAGAGCATTCCTGGGGCTTGACTCCCCGGCAGACTCATTTATGCTGCATGTTACCATCTTGCTCTCTGAGAGCCCTTTATTGAAGTGACTTCTCAGCAAATGTCACCATTGTGCGCTTGCCTGGAACCCTAAGGCTGAGAACAGCGATCTCCCTGGCAGGGAGTAAGATTGGACCTTTCTCCCACCAAAATGCTGATCCCAGAGCCATGTGTTGGTGCTGTCAGGGACATAGGCAGACTGACTCATTACGGAAAATAAGGGCAAGGCTCTAGTGTGGTGTGGCAATGTGACGCATCGGTCACCACAGCGGAGTCCACAGGGCTGTGGTGACTTCCTTTGGGATGGACTCTGGCCCCCCTCATCATCTGAGGGTGTCCCTTCTCCTTCCTAACCTTCCCCCATCTGTACTTTCAGGACTGTGACAGATTACTGTCTTGCCACAGCTGATATGTTGACTTGCTTAGTTCAGTTACCATAGTAAACTGCTATAAACTATGTGGCATCAACAACAAACATTTATTCCTCATGGTTTTAGAAGGTGGAAGTTGAAGACCAAGGTGCCAGCAAATTTGGTATCTGGTGAAGGAGTTGCTTTTATGGTTTGCAGACTGCTTTCTTGCAATGTTCTCATGTGGCTGAGAGAGAACAAATTCTTGCTTCACTTTGTCCTGTAAGGGCATTAATCCCACCAATGAGGCTCCACCCTCAGGACCTCATCTAATCTAATGACCTGTAAAGGCTCCACCTCCAAATACCTTCACATTCAAGATTAGGGTTCCAATTTAGGTATCTGTAGGCAGAATACACTCAAGCCATGGCACTTGCCTTAAAGCATGTACACAAGCACACACTGCACACATGTAGTGATACCATATCTCACATCCGACCCACTGGAAAGTTCCTTAACTTGATGGAAGTGGTAGAGTATAGAGAAATGAAAGTTACAAACACACTTTTACTCATTTATGTGGAATGCATGTGACTTTGGAAAGAATTAATTTGCTTCTGAGAGAAATTATACAGTGCCTAGCACAGAGCCTCAATGGGTGCTGGTCATCAAGCAGGGAAGTAAATTTGTCTGAACTCACTTCCTTTAGTGTGATAAGTAATCTTGCTATCTATCTGCTGTCTTCTTAGTTACTGTTTTGGAAGTAAATAGTGCATCTATCTACCTCTCAGCTTCTGAATTTATTTTTTGATTGAATAAAAACCTATTTCAGAAGTATTTTTAAATGCTGAATTATGAAGCTGCTTTGAACAAATCATGATGCAAGTGGTGTATAAATAAAGACACATTGATACAATTTGTAAGGCAGGCATAGACATTTCCAAATCTAAGGTACTGACAGTGATTTTGGAATTTGCAAACAGTGCTAATGTCCATTGAGTTGGATAATTTGAATTGATGGACCAGCCAGCCATGCGTAGCAAAGGAGCTTAGTGGCCTGCGGGGATTTAGGAAAGCTGGCGGCAGGAGGTCATGATGAGAGCACATCTTCTAGCCAACCGCCTGGATGGAATGTTCAAAATGAGAAGATGGATAAAGTGAAATGGTGAAAAGCCTGCAAACCCTAAGGCCTGGGGATAAAGATAATAGTAACCAGCAACATCCATACTTTAATTTTTGTGCTTATTAGATGATAGGAACACTGTATGCATTTAACTTAGTGCTTGCAAAGCATGTTATAAGATAAATTTGATCAGACAGATTTTGCAGATGAGACATCTACTGTTCATGCTAGCAATTTGTTCATTGTCTGATAATTGATAGGGAAGGGAGGGAGAAAGGGGGCCAGGATTGAAATTGAGGTCTTTCTGACTCCTATGCCCTTTTCTCCTTGCTTTGAAGATAAAATTTCTCTTACTGTCAGCAAATTCAGTTCACAGATATTACATAGGAGCCTACTTCATTTCAGGAACTGATGAAAAAGGAAGGCTAATTATCAGATTATATGGTGAAGGAACAGTTTCCTAGGGGAGTTTGGCAGATACATGGAATATCATGTTCTATGTTATTTAAGTGATGTATTATTGATTGACTCATAATAAAGAGGGGAGTTTCATTTTCACCACACTCTAAATCCTTACTTTGTGAGTCAAATATTTTCATCTAGATTCCTTTCTATCTCTTCATCATATCCAGGGACTGGAATAAGAAACCCTCCAATTCCAGCAGCTTCCACTCCCAAGTTCTCTGTTGATTGAGAACAACACAGCAAACTAACCATATTAGAAACTTTCATCATCTTTTCTCCTTCATGACTCCAGGGTCACTCAGATCCAATGAGTTTCCTGTCTGTTGATGTGGTCACTTGTCCAGGTAATTTTATACCTCACCCCTGCGATAATTGGCTTCTCTTTCTCCAGGCTCTTCTTACCCTCATCAAAGTGTCTGTCTGCAAGCCACAACCCCTTTCTCTTAATAACTTCATTCTTAAAACTCCCTGAAGATCCAAAGTGAATCATACATTTCCTCACTGGAACATAAGCTCCATGAGGCACGGATTTTTCTCTCTGTCCACTATCCTAGTGAATGAAGTATCTGGAAAGAAGCCTGGTGCATTTGTTGAATGTCTGCATTAATACAGGAGTAATTTGCAGAGGAAGGAAAGGGAAAGGATGTGAGGAAAAAAGGAAGCAAGGAAGGAAAAATGGAGGAAGTAAAGCAGGAAGAAGGACGAGAAGGAAAGAAGGCTACTAGGTAATAATGCTCATTATGTTCAAATTTTGTGCTATCACTATACACAAGACAGCATTTAATCTTTGTAGGGTATAATGACCCTCAAATTTTGTTCACTTACTCAAAACATGTTTGTTTTGAGTTTGTTGATTATTTACTATATGGCAGGCACCTGCCGGACACTGGGAAAGTGACAAGGCAGGTATGTGCATGCACATTTGGACTGTAGAGTTGGGCCTATGTGTGCATATATGGGATACAGAGAGGCAATACTCAACAAACAAAATTGTTAAAGTTGCAATAAAGATGAAGAAAACAAAAATTTTGCTTAAAAGCAGTT